AAATGTAAAAGAAAAGACATGGTTTAGTGTAATTTTCTCAAGCGTAGGCATTCACCGTAATGATGGCCCACTCATAAATTTAACGTGACCAATTTCGAACCAATCTTTTAACAAAACTCAGTGGATTGTGGCCCAATTCATTTTGACAACACTAGTAAAAAAAACGACCTGTACGAATATACCAAATGTTTGCGGGCCTCAATTACATCGAAGAAGAGAACCCAGGAATATGCCAGCTCTTTTTCTCTCTCTTTAAAATCTGAAAGTTTCAGCTTATTAATTCGAGAAGATATTGTTTATTCATTCATTCGTGGGATTTTGGATGGAGCCGCGTGTGGGAAATAAGTTCCGGCTCGGACGGAAAATTGGAAGTGGTTCATTCGGAGAGATATACTTAGGTATGTTTGAAATAAATGGATTTTTTTTTTTTGGGAACTTTTCTCTGTTTGAATTTGTGTTTTTCTTGTTTTTATTTTTTCATTTATTGCGAAAATTGTTTTTATTTTCCGAATTATGCAGGTACTAATATACAGACAAATGAAGAAGTTGCTATTAAGCTTGTGAGTTATTGGAAGACCTCTTTCTTTTCATTTTTAATTTACTTTTCACTTATGGGTTTGTGATTTTAATTACTATCATAATTTTGTGCTTTAAAAAATATCTGGAATTCTTATCAGTTATTATATTTTTAATTTTTGTTGAAAGAATTTGACTTTCTAATCTTTAGAGATGTAAGAAAGAGAATATGCGTCATTCATTTTATAGCTGGCAGAACTTACTGTAGAATGTCATTCATTTGGGGAATGGCTCAAGTGGATAAAAGAGGTAAAATTATGTGTATCCCAATCTCTATCTCATTAGCCTTTGGGATCAGGTGGGGCTCCTTCAAGGTTCTTTCCTATTCAAACTTATGTAATGATAATCAAAGATTCTTTTGTTTAACTTGAACCTCGTGTAGTTTATGCAGCAGTTCCGGTCAAATAGTTGCATGTTCAATAGTTGAGTCGAAATGTCATTGTTAGGAGCATGTGAATTCTTTTTGGACATTTCTACTTGCTGATTCTATGTTCAGTTTTATCGTGATCTAGTTATCATCTTGTTCTCTGTCCCCAAGATGGTCTTGTGTGGGTGAACATTGTTATTTATGATTTTGCCAGACATAATAGAAAAAAAGGTCAATATGGCTTCGAAAAATTCTAAGATTTCTAGAATCATAGTCTCAAACCTTGGTTTTTTGGGAGAAGATGCATTGTTAAATTTTTAACGCAAGGCAGAAGTTGCAGTTTGGAAGTGGCATGCAAATCAGTGTTGATTGTCTAGGAAAAATATCGTTCTTGGAAGCTTTTGAAGTTCTTTTTAGACAATGATATGTACCGATTCTCTTTCCTGATTTATTATGGTCTAGTTAATGTGGACCCAAGATGGACTCATCTGGAGTTGAAGTTGTTTGTTTATGGTGAATGTGACGTAAGGGACATATGGTCAATGGGAAAGCTACGACTTTTGGTGTCGCTGCCTTAATCCTCAATTATTGTGAGAGAATGGTTATTTTGTCATCTTTTTGGGCCATGGTAGCTGGTGTAATCTGTTTATGGTGTGTAGAGATCATTGAAGGCAGATTGTCAAGGATCATTCCTGGAAACATTTGAAGATTTTTTTTATTTTTATTTTTCCCCTGTTTGTCACGATCTACCTATTACCAGCTATATTGAAATACAGTGCTTTTGGATCCAAATATGGCTTCGTTGAGAATGAATACGTTATCGATTATCTATGTAAAAAATGAATATATAAATGCTTTTGTGGTCTTATTCAGCTTAAGAGAGAGAGGATCATTTCTGAACCTTGTCGTAACCCCTATGTTTGTGGGAGAGATCGTTGTATTTCTCTTCTATTGGGCCAGGCAGCTGTGCAGTTTGAGTACGGCTCTTAGAGATTATTCAAGGCAGAATGTTGAGCAAGAATGTCATTACTTGAAGTTTTTACTCTTCCTTTTAAGACAATGACAGTGCTAATGAATCTCCGGTGTCATGGTCTAGGTACCGCTGCATGTGTTCTCCCGTGGACGAGACAAAAGCTTGGACTTGGTTGGAGCTGCATTGCTTGTGATTTTGAACTGACCATGAGAGAAAATTTGGTCTGCTTCACAATCATTATTGAAACTTGCAGCATTTATGGAAGAGGGTGGTGTTTTTGTCTCCTTTTCAGACCAAAGCAAGAAATGCTGTGATTGAACTCGTGTGTAGAGATTATTGAAGGCAGATTTTGAGGCAATATGTCATTTTTGGAAGCCTTTAAAGTTCTTTATAACCATTTAATTATTATGATTTCCTGCCTTTTTATGGTTTAGTTACCATATAAGTTAAAATTTGCCCTGTAACTGTTGGACATGGAATTAACGTAGTATGTTATGATTGTAGAATGCACAATGGATCATACGAGTCTAAGCCAAATCAGTGGGTGCTTTTGCAGATGTTTCCTTGACATACGTGCAACTTGGTTGGATTGAGATTTTTGTTTGATTTTATTGTGGAACTACTGTTTTCCATGTACTTTTAGAAGCTGTCGTCTACTCTTTTAGTTTTGTCTATTTTGTCTAGGCATATCACATGTTAGACATGAGGGAGATATTTGGGAAGTTAAGAAATCTGAGAATATTGTCAATTATCAGTTATATGCCACTCACATATTCAGGTCTTGTAAGCTAGGATTTGTTTAGAGAATAAACA